GGGATAGCGGGAACACATCGCTCCATCCTTTGTAATGTGTGTGTGTTCTCATATGTACTGTATGTAAGTACAGCTATATTATGTGGCTGTATATGTGTGTGTGTGCCCAAAGCAGAGTGATGCCCCTGCTGATTCTGCTCCTCCAGCTCTTTGTCCTGCAGCACTCAGTGTGTCTACCTCCTCGGGAGACTGGCAGGCTTCTCTAGTGTGGCTCCACAAAGGCCCAGCCTCCTTTGAGGTGTTAAAAACTTCCATTTATGCATCTCCCTGGACAAAAAAAAAAAAAAAAAAAAGCACCAAGCCCATTTGAGTCCAGTAGCAACACAGGCAGACATTGTGGCCACGCTTCTCTAGCACTCATTTCACAGATTCTAAAACCAGTATGTGGTGAACAGGATTTGAGGGGCTAAAGTGCCCCGCGAGGGCCAGGCGATAAGAGGGGAGAAACGCCACCACGCAGTAAACTAGAAGATGGGTCCAGGAAAATAAACACATTACCTGGGAGAGAGGGGGAGACTTGTTTTCATACCCCTGCCCCCAACACGCACAGAAACACAATCCCCCCACACCGAATAGGAAAAAGGAAGAAGAAAAGGAGGAGGGGGGAATATATATCTGAGAAGTTAAGAAAGGAGGTCTCATCAGCGTGAAAAAGACAAGCCTATTCTGTGTTCTCTGTCTTTGGAGTAAAGAATATGTGAGAGGAAATCAAAGAGAATTGATAGGTTGCACTCGCGCCTGTTAGCAGCGCCGCGGCCTGAACGCCGGCCACCGTGGAGGAAAACATTCTATTTGCTGGTCGTTTCTCTCCCTTCGCCCCGGCTCCAGCCCGGCTGCTCAGTAAATAGACTTTTATTCTTGTTATTTGATGCAGAGGAAATGACAGATAATGTATTTGCCAAGCAGCACATGAAAGCCTTGTTCAGCCACAACGCTATCTGTATCAGGACGAACTCGGGGCAGAATAGCTGCTGCTCAGGAGTACAGTTTTTTATTTTCTCTCTGACATTACCGCACTTGAGCGGTGCCAGAACGCCGGTCACTGTTTTACTCTCGACAGAGATATTTTAACTGGAGTGACACTCTGGTAGTCGTTCTTGACACGCGGGCGCGAGACGTTTTTGTGAGCGTCTGGTCTGGCTGCAGCTCGGCGTTAGGACAAGAGAGACAGAGGGTAGAGATAAAAAGAGAAGAAAGGAGAGATTTGTAAGGCTGTGACAGTTAACGGTGTGCTGGAGCATGAAACAGCTGTTTGCACGTGACCGACCACGTCTCCAGCACCAAATAACTCAATGATACGCTAGAAACACGGCTCGTCCTGCTGACAACACGCCACTGGACTTGTTTTTGTTTTTTTTTATCTAGTATCCCACCAGCAGGAAGTGAATAAATCCAGAGTGTCCACAGTCTACCTGAACTCTAGCTGTTTCCCTGACTAGTACCGTCCTCGCTGTGATGGCTACTCGCTGCGTGGAAGCCGTCGTTTCATATTTCACAGATGATGCTACTATGGAGAGAATTGACTATATGGACCTGGATGTTTAACAGACAATCACATGTGTTCAATTACTATATCAGACATTTCCGCGGCAGAATGTTCTGCGCTTTACCCCCCCGCCCCTCCCTCCCTCCCCCCTCTCACCCCATTTCCCTATTTCCCCCGGGACCGCTGTTATAGCCCCACCTCATTGCATCCCAAACTCGGCCGTGCAGTCCCCAGGCCGACTGGCTGCTCCTGCAGAGATAACCACGCTGCATCCAGGTGGGGAGCAGCCTGCTGATGCCATAGATTACCTCTATTGTCAAAATAACTAACTCGGCAGAATTCCTACTTTAGAGTGTTTGGACGCAAAGGAGAGCGAGGATTTGGAACGGAGGATTGGGAGGATGTTTTTTTTTTTTTAACATGTTGCAGATCTGGATGAATTCCAAGCAGAAGTTAGAGTACAAGTTTTGGCTTGCTCATGCATATCCACACACAACTCAGGCAGGGCGAAATGCACGTATGCACACGTGCACGCATGCATGCAGCAGACCCACAAACACTCAGACACCTATAGACAGGCAACTTAAAAAGCCCTCATGGAGCATTAATGCGAGTTAACTGATGCACAAGAAGCATAACGCCTGAGTTTGGCCCGGACGGCTGCGTGCTGGTGGATCTCCTCCTCCAGTTGTGGCGATGTTGTCTATTGATGCTGAGCTGCTGTCACATGACGGCTGAGAACACAGCGCTCTGTTATGGACAGGGGGAAATCAAATCAAGCGTAGCCCACACCGTACATAAACACATGTCTGGAATTTGAAGGTTCATTTGATTTGAAAGTGAATCTTTCTGGGCTGCGCTAGTAAAAACCGCCTTCCTTCACGTTCTGTACGAGAGCTCAAACGGGAATTCCCGCGGGCACGCAGTACGACACGCCAGCAGCTTCTACACGAGAAGTTTTAGCGCCATTTAATTGGTTCATCATGGAATTTGAATCTTGTGTTTTTCCAGAGAAATTGTGTGTATTTACCAATTTTTTTGGTGAACCCACACAGATGAGAGGCGGTTTATCCAGTTGGCCTCCTCGGCTCTGTGTCGCTGTAATTCCATCAGTGCAGATGTGTGTGTGTGTGTGTGTGTGTGTGTGTGTCGCTGACAAAAGCCACTTATGCTGTAATTCTTGACTGCATATCAAAGCGTTCCTTGTATTTGCATTTTGAAGCATTTCTTTCGTTTCGTGTTGGTTCTGACCAGCCAAAGGCTCTCTGACAGAAATGCCACAGGTGGCTGTGAGCTCTGTCTCTGCTGCTTTGATGTCGGTCTGTTTGGATTTTTGTACGTGAGAGTGAAACCTTCAGTATTTACAGTAGAGTGAAATAAAACCAAAAAAACAGGCGTCATGCTCCACTGTGATGGTTCACTTGAGGCCTGATGGGGCCTGATTTACTGGGTTTTCTGTTCCAATCTTAAAAACGTATTGACAGTTTGTTTATTTATTAATCACTAGTATTTGAATGAAGAAGTCCCAGATGTTGTAATTGGGAATGCCTGCTCCATGTTTGCTGCCTGTAGGTGTAGCTGACAGCAGGAAAAGAGCTGCTGCTGCTGCGATAGGCCAGTCCACAGTGACTCTTATTGCGCCGCAGGGATTAGTACATTCGCCTCATTATAATGTCATTTGGGTTCGCTCGTTATTTGCAATTATCAATTCTTTTGTTCCCCCCCCCATCCCACCCTCATTCAAATAATTAACTTAAATAACCAGCGAATAAAGACTACATCTCCCCATGTATTATTTACCTCATTGTTCTCAATTAACATCAAATTATGAACTCAAAGGTTCGCCGATATCTGCTGCGTGTAATTATAAGAGCTCTCGTTTATTTAGACAGAACAGGAATCCAGCCTATAGTCAGATGTTTGACAAAGGCTTTATTGAATTACCCTCCATGTAATATGTGGTTTATCCAGCAGGCAGTGTGATTGTTGATGAGGCTGAATAGCTACTAATATAAGTTAATGGTGTGTGTGTGTGTGTGTGTGTGTGTGGATGCAGGAGTGGGTGGCTGCAGCTGGAGCACAGTTCAGAACAGTGAAATAGTGTGGCGGTGGCGGCGGTGGCGGCAGCGGCGGCGGCGGGCGTTGGAGAGGCAGTAGTAGACTTTGAGCTCAGAGGTGCTATTCATGTAACTACAGCAGCGTTTTCTGCTGCCGCCACAGCGAGAAGAGGAAAAAAAAAACAAGATTTCCTCAGTTGCACCTCACTTTACTGAATTTCTGTTGTGCACAAATAAGCAGGAGCTCCTAAGATCACAGGGAGTAGATATATAAATATTTTATCATGGCAAGAAACTTAGTATAATCATTTTTTTTATAATATTAACATGAAAAAATCTTGTTATAACGTGAAAAGGATCTTTCACTGAGGAAAATGTATGTCTGTCATGGTGGCAGCGCTACACCGCCGTATGTAATAGCTTTCCATTCAGCTGGGGTCACCTGGGTCTCCTCTCTCCCATTGTCACGTCCAGCCTCAAGGCTACCACATTCAGACCCGTCTGCAACTCTTGCCTTTATCCGTCTCATTCTGGTACCCTCCAGCCTCCCACGCAGCAGACTGTGCCGCGCTCTGACAACAATACGGTGGTAGTCAGTGTATTTATCGGGTCTTGTTGTTGGTGGCTTATTTGGCCCGGCAATAGAAGACTGAGGTGCCGTAGTGCAAATTAGTGACAGATCAGTTAAGCGTGACCTTAAAAACCCTTGGCCTTGTTTAATTGGCAGTGTTGAGGCGGACTAATTGTATAAATCAGCTGGTAATGAGGTCTTGGCTTATTGTGAAAAACAAGATAATGTGAGAAAACCAACGTGAATGAGCTCCGAGCTTTTCCATCTCCCAGCTCCACGGTCTGATCGGCCGATTGTTTTCTCTCCATCATCGTCACTTTGTTTAAGTTCGATTCGGCTCAGATGACGCCCCAAAGCTACGTACTTAAAGCGAGTTTCCTGGGACTTTGCGAGCCGTCTGACAAAGCTCTTAAGTTGCAGCACTTGGGCAGACGTGGGGAAGGCGGCAGAGCGTGGCCTCTAAATAAATCATTAGCAGGCAGCGCTTGATGAAAGCGAGCAAAATTAAATAAAACAATTGGTTTATGTGAAAACTGTTTATTAGTGGAATCCGCCGGCTGGAAGGCAGATTAATGAGGTAGCGGAGAAGCAGGTTTTAAACATTGTCTAGGACGGATTCCCATCGATGACAGCTGTGAGGACTGGAGGTCAGACACTAACAAAGCTGTTTCTGCTCAGCTGTGGAGGCGCTGACCCTCCGCCAACAGTCAATATGGTCTCAATTCTTTCCCACTTGTTCTGGTCTGATGTAACCCTCGCTGGTTTTATGTGCCAAATCCCCCGGTGTGTGTTTTTTATTTTAATTTCTTTTATTAATGCTGCTGTGCTTTGTGGTGGATTGTTCCAGTTAAATATCTCTTCTGTCGTATTTTTGCTTACATTTCAGGTTATTTTCATGAATTCAAAACCAACCGACCAGTGATCGCTGGAAGCCGGGGATTGAGTGTTTCGGTTTTTGTAAGTATCAATTTGCCTCTTCAGCTGTTTCTGTCTCACACACCCCTGCTGACTCTCACCCACACCGAACACCTGCATCAAATGAGGTGGACAATCGGATAGGCGCACAACGTATGCACAATTAGACCATTATATAGGCACAAAGACACCCACAGACCTCTGAAACGTCCTCAAACTTATTCTTGTTGCTTTTCATTTTCTTTCATGGTACTTTGAAGTTTTTTTTTTTCCTCCTCTTTGTTCACAATGCTTTTGCTTTTGTGTGATATAACCTCGTGTGGGAATGCTAAGGTCAAATCAAGCTTGTTAGCATCGAGGAATGACTGTTTAAAGCATCACAGGGAGGAAAAAACAAAAAACAAAAGAGAAAAGAAGACGAGCTTTGGAGAAAAGTTGGTGAAACTAGATCAGCGATGAGTGTTGTCAGCTAGCTGAGCTAAACGATGACACCTCAACATCTACATCTCCTCTTTGTGTCTTGGTGTAATGTCTGAAAATCATCTCATCACCAGTTTACGCCGTCCTACAGCTACACACTTCTATGACTGTCAGCATTCACACAGAACCACCAGATTTATACCAACCCAAAAAAAACTATCTGGGATGAACTGAAACTTTATTTTGTCCCGTTTTAAAAAGTTAACGCGACAGCTTACGTTCCACCGACACGTTTAAGCATCTGAGACGCAAAAAGCAGGATTAAATTCACACTAATCCTGTTCGTACTACAGAAACACGTTCACGTTTTTTACACCAAATCTCTGCCTGTGTCCCGAAATATCAGTTTAAAACGGGTCTGAAAACGTTTGAAGCACTACAGTACATCAGTCGCTATGAAATGTGCTTTAAAGAACACAGAACAGAGAACACTGCCGTCCTCTCTGCATCGGTATTATATTACTCTAACAATCTTTGCGCAGCTGCTGCCCGTGCGGGCTTTTCTCATAAAAACGCATCGTCGATATTAAACAAATAAAGGTGAGGAACTTAGCCGATATTATTCTTTTCCTCCAAATGTCACTTGGAGAGATCATATTAATGCGGTTCTTCAATAACAGCTGAGAAGTGTCTCTGCGACTCCAAAGTTCAGGGCCGTTTACCATTGTTTGATCACGCCGCTCCACGCCACACCATGTCTTCTGCTCACATGAACATGCACCTGTCTACCAGCAGCCACCCATCTCTGCTGCTTCACGTCAGCGCTGTGGAGTCGACACCGCCACTTATCAGTCAGGTCACACTCCGCACGCTACTACAGCCATAAATAGACTTTCTAATTAATACCAAACAAAGTTATTCAAAGCACTTTTCTGCGCATCAATAAAAGACGTATTGTTGACAGAGACGTAACGGGAAACAGAGAGGCAACACTTCTCCCTTGAAACACAATCATACAATAGATCCACCGTATTGAGCAGATTACGCCGGCTCGCTTCACTAACAGACAATTTAATAAAATATGCAAACGTAAAGGTCCCTGCTGAGCTACCGGCAGCAGCTCTGCGATCAGCTAAACAACGCACAAGGTCGGGTGGATGCAAAACGAACACGTTTAGGTTCAACAATCAAGGACTGACTGTCTCACAGTAGAATCCATAAACACCCAGAGGACACGACGCGCTTTACTGTAAATCAGCCAGAAACGGCCTATAGTGTTCAGCGGTTACGTATTGATCGCGTCCAAACTCGCCCGGCTAGCAAAGCAGCATCTCAAACCAAAAACAGAGCCGAGCCGCTTCGAAAATGTTAAGCAAAAACTGCAAACCCTTAACGGGATATAAATAATCTGCATACGCTGGACGCCTGCTGTGCTGATTGGCCGCTCTTGGTCCAGATAAAAATGCACCTACTCAGGTGGTCCATAAATTGACCCCTGGAGCTTCCAGAACAATGACTCAGAGTGGTAATGGTCCGGGGTATTATTGCGATGTGATTTGGCACCTGGTAGAATTTGTCACCGAGAAAATTGCACCAGGAAGTGCTAGACGGCTAGCGTTAGTCGCGTCGCTCTTGTGGAGCTTCGTACGATCCGACGCTTCCATCTGCAGGTTCAAGTAATCTCGAAACATGAGAGGAAGTCATTCAGCTTGTGCAGGACGCTCAGTTTCATCCTCGTTTAGTGACACCTGAGGGTCTGCTGGACCATCCGAGCAGGTCGCTCATTGTTAATACGTGCTGTTTATGCAATAAGCGGCGGCGGCGGCGCAGCTTTTCGCTATTGATGGAGCGAGCGAAGGGGAGGAAGAAATTAAATAAACAGCACTTCACCATAAAATGAAAATGAATCACTTTTGAATGGTTATTCTCAATCAATTTTTTCTTTCTATCAAATGAGCCTGTTCAGCCCACTGACCCAGCAGTGATTATGGTCAATACGCTGAACAGAGGCGGCTTGACAAAGGCTGCTTAACAAAGATTTTAATTTCATCAGCCTCAATTACTTCGGAGGATCCCAGAGTGAATTTGGAATACTAATTGTTACACATGTCATCACCTGGCAGGAAGGCGTAAAGCCCGTCTGAATCTTATTTATCCTCTGCATTCGGTTAATAGCTCGCACCTGATTTACTCGCCAATGACCACGTTTGAAGCGGTTAAACTAAAATATGCTTTAACTGTTGGCAGCTTGATTAGGCGGGGTTTTGTCTGGTCTAGACTGAATCACACGAAGGGGACCTCACCTCTGAGTGTATTATTATTATCATCACTATTATTATCATTATTCATATAAGGTTCAATGGCCTTTATTTCATCCTCAGATGAGTAAAACTCTAATATGGATTTGGCTGCGTGTGGTTCCCCGGTACCGTAGGACAGAGTTTCACCCAGGAGCCGCTCACATCGGGAAACAGGACCAAAAGAACATGCCGTTAATCTTCTTGCTACCCCAGCTGTGGAAAGTAATGCATAACTAAAAGTCCGGTAAAATGAATTAATGATTTCAACCATGAACTTTTCTCCCAAAAAGCCATGAATCGTCTCCGGCTGATAATGCACCACGACCCCGGAGTGTGAAATCCCCGTTGCGTTGAGAGTAGCCAGTTAATTGATTCGCAAATTATTTAAAGTTTGTGGTGCCCAGGGGAGTGCTGGGCTCTAATGACAGCCCATTTTGAAAGAGCTGAAAAACTCTTCCCAGGCAAGCCGGTATTAAATCGTAACAGTAAGCTAACAAGTGTAATACGAGCCCCAAGACGAGAGACGGCCAATATTGTGTTAGATTGGGTCGGTTGAATGTGCAAACCGGGTTTAATTTTATTGTGCTTTATTCTGGCTGTGCAATGCTTTGTTTCTTCATCATTGGTCCTTTTATCGGCACAGGGAAAGCATGCAATGATGGATCATATAAAATACAGATGCAAAGCTGGTATAGAGTCAGTATGCAACTGCCTTTTTCTCTAAGCCTGTCATTTGTCCATTGACACTCACTGGGGCTAAATTTAGCCATCAACGTTCTGTTCAGCTTCTAAATAATGAGGTTTGACTGAGTGAAGGGCTATTACTCTGTTACCTACACGTCTCAAACAAGCTCACACTCCATGTCGGTGTGCATGTGTGATATTTAAAAGGAAACCTGGACAGAAGTCTGTGGACAAAGTGAAATTCAGAATGTTTTGTTGCGGTCGGACCTGCATGAAGCCACAGCCGTGCACGACGGGCTCATCCAGGAGCGTGCACGCTTTACGTTCCATTGCTTTTTAGCTGAAGTGGTTGGATCTCTGTGTTAATATCAAGAAGCCTCTAATCTCGACCCATTAGCAACTGCTGTCATTCAGACACACGGTGTCGGCCTGATTTAAATAAAATGAAATGAAGATAGTTGTTTCTGCTCCCTTGGCTTCACTCATTGCCATAAACATATGCTCTGTGCCCCGCTTCTTTCCATCTTATTTATGACTTTAATTTGTTGTGTGGGCTGCGCAAGAAATCAAATTTAATCCAATCCTCCCAGGGACCCTGTCATATAATAACATGGTAATTTCTGTGTATCCTTTTGAAAAATGAGGAAATTAATTCTTCCTGACATGTTCTAATTATTCCAGTGTGAACGGCGGATGGGCTCCCCTCCTTCCTCCCGCCGCCCCCCTCGCCCCCCGCCGCCCCCCCCCCCCCAGCCCCCTAAGTGTCAGTTGCCGACGGGTGGCGAGGTGCTAATGCTGACCAGCAGCGCGTTTAATTTGAAACATGAGCAGACACCTTTCAACACACCTTCCTAATGTTGGAGTGGCTCACACAAATTAATTCACTACTCATCTGGCAGCTCTGACTGAGATGTGTGTGTGTGTGTGTGTGTGTGCGTGCGTGCAGGCGTACGTGCACGTGCAGTGTGTGTTAGCGGATGGGGGGATGGGGTCACTGGGACGCCGCTGCCATTAGTAAAGGTAACATAAGGCGTGCGTGTGTGGACACATTGTCGGCCAGGTATCGCCATATTTCACCGGGTGTTGAGTTGGCGTAAAGTGGGGATGTTGGGATTACTTGGACAGGTTTTTTCTCCCCCTCTCGCTCTCTCTTCTCTCTCTCTGGATCTCCCTCCTCTCAAACCAACGCTGCCTTTTCACACGTCGCACTGCTCCACCGAGAGCACCCAAAGGCTTATTTAATTAGACTGTCATCAGGCAGTCTTTAGCTTATCACTTCAATTTGCATAGGGACACGCCTGACAGAGACGTCATGGAACAATAATCTTGGGCTTGAAAACTCTAAAGGAAAAAGTTTTTACCTTTGTTTTATAGTGCTTTTTTTTTTTAACCTGTTGCAGATCCGAGATGATCAAATTAATATTAAATTAAATAAAAACTGATTGCTATCATGCAATACAAATTGTGTTGTGACGTTTGCCAACAGCCCAGCCTGTGTGCGTCCACAGCGCCGCATACGTTCAGGCTTCATGTGTTTCCACTCTAGTTACGTACAGTATCTAAGCAGCTGAGACAGGAGGAGAAAAAATAAACAAAATTTACTGAACTTTGGAGTCGGGTTAAAACCGCAGCGCTGTAATTGATTTGGTGTGTGTGTGTGAGTGTGTGTGTGTTGTCTCTGGGTCACAGAACAGAGCGCTCATAGCCGCGGCGTCATGGTCGGGGAGAAGAGAGCCCGGCTTTGTGAGCGGTGGGTGGGTCGCCCTGTGACTCAGAGCAGGGAGAGGCGTCAACATGGCCGCCTGGACCACAGGGATTAAAGTGCCCCCCCCCACCCACCCCTCCTCACACCCTGCAGGGTTAATCACTGCCATTTTGGATCCATGCGGAGGGAGCAAATGCACTCTCCATCACTGTGGAACAACTGAGCCACCAGTTAGTGTGCCTCTGCAGCAGCTCTGTGGGTAGATGTACTTCATGAGCTTGTTTCCACTCAGCACAATAGAGTGTTTTGAGCCGCGGCTCACTTGTCTCGAGAAGGTTGACGTTCCTGGATCAGCGCGGATTTCTCTCTGGATGCTTTTTCTCATGCGGCTTTATTTATGGGATGCACCGTGTAACCTGGGATGTAGTTACTGGTCGGATCCGTGCAGCTAACTTCTGTGTCTCGCTGTGCGCCGCGCGCTACGTGAGCCTGTTAATGACTGAAGGCTGAGAGTGCCGTCTCGTGCCAAGACCCACATGGCTGCTGGTGGTGCATTAAATCAGCAGTCAATTTGACTGGAAGTTTGAAATCTGGGCTAGGTTAAGGGGATGTGCTGAAGCCGTGTTAATAGCTAGCTTGTTGTCCATATGGTACTGCTTTAATAGAGCACATTTGTTGCAGATGGTGGGAGACTTGGTTAGGCAGAGGCAGCTTTTGGCAGAGGCTCATTCTTCGAAAGGGCTGCCGTGCTGCTCAGACCGGTCCAGGCCAACTTAGTGATGTCTATCCTCCCTGCTCGTCTCTCACCAGAAAGCCTGCCCTTGAATCCGGGCCGAGGCTTAATTTTAAGACATTCTTGTTTTCTATGTTCAGAGCAAAAAGACAATGTGGCCCAGTCACTTTTTCCTTAGTTCGGTCATTTGCTCTCCAAACCGCACCTCAGCTTCCATAGACTAAGTTCAGTTGTTTCTGACCACAATGGGCCTGTAGACAGCAGGCCCAGCTGAGGAAACACAAGCACACAGAGAGTGAAACAACAAGGCTTATGGAGTACAACCAGCGATAAAGATAGAAACTGAGCCTGGCCTAATCTATTTCATTTTCTCTCTTAAGTATTGTAGCAGGCCTGCTGGGGGCTTCAGGTGCCAGTGAAATGCATGAACGGCAGCTCAGGATTTAAAAATAGAACGCCGTGCTGGTCCTGTCACCTGCTCCGGGTAAATATTCTGCATTAATTCTGCTTCTTTTCCAAACATCCGAGCTGTGCTTCTTGTACGGACGCATTTTGTTTGCTTCAAAGTTCCGGGCAAGTTGTGTTGATAATTGTTTTGGTCTGTGTGTGCCCGCGGTGCAGTACGTGTGCTTTTTGCACTCAGAGAAGTGAGGAGACACGCTTGATCTGCTCTGCACTGTTTGACGGTTGTTTTCTCACGTTGTCACTGGCCTGGTGTGCTGTGGCGTGGTGACGGTATTATGTGCGCTGGGCCCAGCTGAGTGGAGAAAAGAGCAGAGCTGCAGCGCCCCTGGCTACGCCACTCCCGCCTCCCCAGACACCTTATTGTGAGAAAAGTCTCGGCTGAGCCCTCTGGGCCTTGTGGATCCACTGCCTCGCTAAGTGCTGGCCAGACTGAAAGGCACAGTGTCCTTGGGCCCGGCTCATTCTTTCCATTCTCTCAGAGGCTTTGTCTCATAAGCCAAGAGAGCAAGGGGAGAAAATGCCAAATTACACCCATGTCACTAAAACTTAAGGTGTTTAAGGGCTGAGATGTCATTTGCTGCTGCGTTCTGCGTTATTCATGATGATGAGGGAGCGCCGTAACAGGCGAAGTTTAGCAAAGAGTATTTTTCTTTCCAATCATGTTAACAAAAAAAAAAAGTAGTGATTTTCACAGCAGGAATTTTGGTATGTGAAATTTATAGCTCTTAAATTTAAAAGTTATGAAATTGAATAAAGGGGTGGTGGAGAGATGAAATGCTGAAGTGAAACGGCTTGTTATAACGCTGAGAGGATGCCCTCGGCCTAATTCAGAGGCTCAACGTCTTCATAAGGCTCGTTCTGAGATCTGAGAGGTGGCGTTTAAATTTCAACCGACGACGACAAAAGTTCCACTGACAAATCTGTTCCTTGAAATCGCTGCTCACTTTTCACCACTTGAAACAAAGCACATGGAAGCCCTAATCAATTCTCAGCCAATCTTAACACAATAAAAGTGTGTATTGTAGAGACCAATAACATGGGCTAATGGAAACCTTTTGTAAGTCAATTTTTAGCCATGTGTCTCCAGTATTTTGCGGGTAAGGCTTCTGAACGACCCCTGCAAGTGGTGACATCATGACCACATCCTTTTGCCTCATTGGCGCTCGGAGTCCCAGCTTGGGTCCCTTGCGGCTGAGCTCCCAGAAGCCGCAGCACCCTCGCCACACATGGGCTGCAGCTGGACCACCGCTGGCTACTCGGAGCAGACTGGGACTGCTCTGGGATCTGCGGTCACAGCGCTGGATGTACATGCATATATCTGCACACAGCGGTGGAAATGCACCGTATAGAGATCAGTAGGCAGAGTTTATTTGATGCAAACATATCATCAGGCTCTCGGCGCAAAACCCATGTTGTATGCAAATCCACTCCCTCGATGGAAAGAGGTATAATTAATGATGTCAGCTCGCAAAAAGAGAGGATGGTTTCCTAGTCATAATTCTGCTTTAATTAAAGACATAAGATCTTATATAAGAAGAAGATGTATGATCTGTGTTTTTCTTTCTTTCCCTCCTTTCTCCCTTTCCTCCTTGTTCTTCTTCTTCTTTGATTATTACTCATTTCATAGTGAAAATGGTTCTCTGTGATTTCTCCTGCCAGAACCCCACACGCTGACATGGAGGGCTTTCTTCGTAGCAGCTTTTTACTGAGGTTAGTTTCATTTCCGTTGTTGCCATTCAGGATCACAGGCCGGGCGGCGGGTGGTGAGCGGGCTAACAGGGGTTAAACTCTCTGACACATTGTTAGCTGTAGACTTTGTCCCGTGTGTGTGTGTGTGTGTGTGTGTGTGTGTGTGTATTTGAACATTGTCGGACATGGATTCTAACATATTTACCCAAGCTGTGTGTTATGATTGTGTTGGTGTAGTGTGTGGTTGGTTAGCATGCTCACCCTGATAGCCTTGAGTCAGGACACACACACACACACACACACACACATGAGCTGCTGTTCCCCCCACCACACCACCACCCACCCACCCACTCTCCATTTCACAGCATAAACAACCTGCAGGTCAGGCTTTCTGTGTCTTCAGACTGCATGCTTTTGTCTGACCACTCTCCTCATGTGCCCTCCCCTCACTGACTAACTGCCCTAATCAGGGGCGTCGGGGTTGTTGGGGTGAAGCCGCTGCTGGCACTTCTTGTGATGCTCTGTTGTTTTCTGTGCTGTTCTGTGTTTGTATTCAGCCCAACATAAAGATTTACATTTTTTGTCTTTACCCTTCCTGTGATTCTAATTAAAAATTTGTGCTGTCATTACACACAGAGGAAGTAAATAAGAGAGCTTATTTACCATTGGCTCCTTTCCTAGTCAACCACCTTCTCTAGGCTCCAGTGTTGCTCCCTAATTAGGGCTGGCTCATTAAAAGCCACAGCAGCAGCATCTGCCTTTCAAAGCTGCTGTCAGCCAAACTTTACTAAAGCTAATGAATCCTCTTTGATTTCTTTTTCAAAAGGTCACTTATTTGATTAAATTAACAGCATTTTTTTTTTTTTTTTTCCCTCCCTACCGAACTGTTGGGGGCATTTTAAAAAGAAAGGACAATTTGATACCATTACTGTCGCTACTCAAAATGTCCTTCAGGAATTCAATAGGAAAATCTCTCCTGCATTTAAATTTATTTTATTTATCTTTAGAATTCAATATGATTGAGTCCCACATTTATGAGCCTGAGAGAAAACAAAGCAAGTTGAGCTCTGAGCTGAAATTGGGACCAAACTTAATCCTGCAGAATCATACCGTATAAAGTACATTCACAAGGACGTTTTCCACATAGATATCTCCGACTGTCAATTGAAATTGTTGCTTTCGATTTTAATTAAATTTGACAAACTGAAAGAGCCCATTATTGCTCAGATATAAATTACATATATTCAGTATATTTACACGAATGCCTGATGCGCGCGCTGTTTGGCGGCAGTAAACAAATAAAATATGTAAAGCAAAAAAATGTACAGTTCTATCTTTCATGGCACGGCACCAATTTATTTGGCGAGCTATATCCACTACAGTTTGACAGGAGTTAGTCAGGCATACAGCATGTTAAATTTTTGAAAGCGCACCGCCATTGCTCATTTCCGCTTTTTCTTTTTCTTTTTTCTTTTTTTTTGGGGAGTATTGCTACGAAGTGGATGACAGCGTTTAACTCTCACCACCTGTCTGAACCAGTTTATAACCAACCCTGCTAAAGATGAACTGTATCCTGTGTGCTGCAGGACAGCAAGAAGAAAAAAAAGAGATAAAAAAAACACACAACAAAGACGAGGACCTTTGGCCTTGGCTGTTCCTCAACAATTTCCTTTTGTTCTCATGGCTGCGAGGAAACACTGTGATTATTCTAAGTAAACACATTATTGCGCTGCTAATCCACATCCTTCTGTCAATGTCTGTTTTAATTAAAGGAGAAGCAGCAGCAGCAGAGAGATATCACGCACACTGGCTGGAGATTTGAGGCCTTAACAATCAGGCCAAGATTAAAGGCAGGCTTTGCTTCAGGGTTAGCCCTTTTGCTTTGATAAGGCTTGTGTCCACCAGGAGTGGGCTGTGGGGTGGGGGTAGGGGTGAAAGGGGAGAGCGGGGTGGAAACAGGGGTGGATGGATGTGGCAGTTAGACATTCCTCCAGTGAAGAATCCCAGTATCTTTTCTCAAGCAGCAGAATTAGGTCAAAGGGGGCTTTCTGAGCACGCTCGTACGTATCTGCTGCGATGTGCGTTTTGTTATTGACTCTTTGTGCTGCACCTCGTATCACAGCGGCGCACCAGATGGGCCTTTCATTACCGTAATGAGTCAGGAGTTTGGTTCTGAGTCACACACGCAGAGTTTAAGAGTATCCACTTTCATTTTTGACAAACGCTGCTTCCCGATGGCACCTGATATGCCGCCGCCGCTGCCGCCGCCGTGAAAAAACACATCAAACTCAACCAGGAGACGTCGACGCTCCTTCCTTTGCTCAGAGCTTTTGTATTGTCTGATTGTCTGTTTGAAATTCTGGATATTTCCAAAAAAGAAAAAGTTTTCCAAAGCATTCGACGTATGCTTTGGCGTCTTTAATAGACAATCGCTCACGCTTGCATTATTGCGAGCCTCTCTTTGTTGAAAAGGAAATGGTGCGTTTCTTTCTTTCCCTTCAGATCAATTTTTCATATGTTTATGAAAGATGTTTAACAGGTTTTTGTTTGTGTAGTCATAGAGACTGGGAAAATAAGTGTGAGAGAGAGAAAGGGGAAGGAAGAGAGAGAGGAGAGGAGAGAGAGATGTCTTCAGTCTCTGTCTGCTCCCAGTGGGCAGGACCTCCCCCTACATTTCTGCCATTATTTGATGTAATGAAAGGAGAAAGTGTGTAACATTGAGATTGTTAATTAATTTAGTCTAACAAGATGAAGATAAATGAAACCCACTGAAGGTTGACTAGGCTAAGGGGCCCACTTAGCATTCCTTCTGCCCTCAAGCTCTGTCTCTCTCGCTCCTTCACAATGGAGCTCAGCTAATAGGTGCAGCACCGTGTTTGTACAACCCCACTGAGCTCTCACCCAGCCCGTCTGCATGTGGCACTCTGGGAGAACATATTTCATTTTCAGCTTCTTCTTCTTTCTAATTGTCCTAATCTGCTCTCTGGGATATTTTAATCTCTGTAACGTCTAGCTTATCTAACTGAGCCATGCTGGATAAAGCCCAGCTGACATACATGACTAGTGAACCAAACTGGTCAATAACTCAGAAACACCTTCTCACAGGCCACGAGCACACCTCTTCTTATCTTCTGCTGGAGATCAGATGTATTTTTCTGCAGCGGATGGAGGTTATATAAATGGCCATTCTCTCCGGCAACTATGTGGCCCCTTCACATGAGCCTGTGTGACTCGGAGCTTTTCACCATATGAATGGGTCTTGTCTAATGTGGCCTGGGGGCTGTTTGAGCGGCAGGACAGACAAAAAGCAGAAAGGACATTTTTCTACAAAGCCAGACAGTTGTCTTCATCCGCAGCCCAAGCAAATCAGTAGTCTATCGAGCTGCTTCCTCAGTGGACACTTTGTACAGGATCTTCATGGCAGCACAGACCAATCATTATGGCGCCCATTCTTTGCTCCCTTAGTTCTCAAGTCATCCACAATGGGTTGTTGATTGTATGGAAAACACCAGGACAATTATGTCCTCTGTTTTGGTGGCAGGGCAGCGTTTTAAAGTGCAATCCTCAATAATGGTCTCATTATTGTTATTCTTGGAGCAGGCCTCAGGAGAAAGAAGTAGCTGCTCGCAGTACGTCATTATTTCGTAAATTTCGATTAGCTCATCATGCTGTCTCCTGGCAAACAGAATCATAGCTAATTAAAAGTGAGTGAGCGCTCTTGCCTGTGACTTAAAAGGTAGGCACTCGATAGGCTGTTAATATGAAAGAAATGGTAAAAAAGGAGGATTAGAGCTGTTACCCTGGTAACTCCAACTTCCATCTGCGAGGGAACAATGAACTTGTGTTCCTCTACCACCTATGCTTGAAAAACAGAAAGCAGGGAAGTGAGTGTTCTGAAAGGACAGGACCCTTTTTCAACAACAAAGTGGGATCCAGGTCTAATAGGCTCTTTGGTGCAAGTTGTTAGGCGAGATCACTGGGGGATAGAGGAGCAGAAAGGTCAGCGTGTAATCCTAGGACAGCGAAGGTTGTCCGAGGTTTTTCTTTTTTACAATAGCAGTTTGTTTCCTGAATCCGTGTCTCTGTGCCAAGAAACAAAAACTCAACTTGGTCATTTTAAGGATCGTAAAAAGAAAATGGGATTGAGAGAAAATACAGCGAATAAAAGCGTCCTCTGGATAACGGGGGGTCGAATTTAGCTCCTCAGCTGATAAAATAAACAGAAACAGGAATCCAAGGAGTCGAACTGAGTAGACGTCTCTGTTTTACTGATGGACATGAATCCGACGCCTCAATCATGCTCCAAGCGACACACAAAAGCCCTCACGGTTCAGGCTCCTGATTTGCACGAACAACTGCATAATGTAATTTTTCAGCTTTTCAAATTAAATTTTTTTTTTTCCAATTTCCAACAAGCACTTAGTGACACTGCGACGTCAATATTACAGCTGAAGTCTTTAAAATCCTGAGGTGAGAAGCGAGCGGTGATGAAAATACCGGTTGTCATGAGTAATGAATTTCCATAATATTATTTTTTATTTCAGCCGACGTTAAAACAAGTTTATAGGCATTAATAGAAAAATGTGTTTGATGGGCTTCTGGTTAAGAGCTGCTAAAGAGCGGCGACAATGAGGAGGAATGCTCTAAAACACTGCTGAGTTATAATGATCCATGACTACGGAGGAACAGTCTGTGTTTCTCTTTGAGTTTTATGTCCCTTATTACAGCTGCAATACGTCTGCTCGCATTAAGCTAATTTATGGCCGAGGCCAGCGGAACAGCAGTACAGGTTAATGAATTTGGCATTACTAATTAAACGTTATTGAGGGATGAATATGAATCCTGCGGTTGGGACGGACGGCGGAGACGAGGAGGAGGAAGGGAGGAGGGCTGGGGAGGAGAGGAGAACGGGACAGAGGACTTTTTCAGCGCCGTCTCTTCCCCTCAGTTCTTCCACAACAAGCGAGGAAGCGAAGGTGGAGACGGCAGCGTTCGGGGTGAAATGGAGGACAGCTTTGTTT